TTTCTATTTTTTTTAGTAGAGACTGGGTCTCGCTCTTGCTCAGGCTCGGCCTTCCAGAGTGCTAGGATTACAGGTGTGAGCCACTGCGCCTGGCCTATTTATTCCATTTTTCTTTCGGCTTTTCTCTGGTATAAAGTAAATTAATAGTCTTTATTCAGCCTTATTAAGAAATTTTGTCTCTAATTTTTTCCTTTCAATTTTTCCCTTAAAATGTTTTCGAAAGATTATTTTTGGCTGGCACAGTGCTCACACTCATAATCCTAGCACTCTGGAAGGCTAAGGTAGGAGGATCACTTGAGCCAGGAGTTCAAGACCAGCCTGGGCAATACAGCAACACTCCATCTCTACAAAAAATTTAAAAATGAGCCAGACATGATGGCATGCACCTGTAGTCCCAGCTTCTTGGGAGACTGAGGTGGGAGGATCACTTGAGCCCAGGAGTTCAAGGCTGTAGTGAGCTATGACCATGCCACTCTACTCCAGCCTGGGCAACAGAGTGAGACCTCGTCTCTAAAAAAGAAAAAAAATTAAAAAATCATTTTTCTTCATTCACTGGGTGTTTTTTTGAATCCCTTTCATGGGATGTCACGTTGGAAGCTTCAATAATGAGAGAGCAGTACCTATAAAAAATTTGCCCATATGTATGTGCAGGTTTTTACTGATGTGGACTCTCACTACTAAAAGTTTTATTTTCCTGCCGTTCTCAAAAGTTACAAGGGGGACAAGTGTATATGGGTGGCCTCAGAAAGCAGTAGTGGTATTGTTCTAAATAGTGTGTATAGGTGGCTCATGTCACAGATACTTTATTTTCTGTTTAGATTGAAGGACGCGTTCTACCAATGGAAAGAATTAACTTAAGAAATATGTCATTTATCACATCTCAGGAACTAAACTGGATTAAGGAAGTAACCAGAGACCTTTCCATCCTGACTGTAAGTGATTTTTGAAGCAGTGAAGAGAGGACCTGTATTCCTAAGAGTGTGGAAATTAGGAAGCAAAAATGATCTAGTGTCCTCTTTTTGAGAGAAAGTACCAACTGATTTCCATCTCTGAATTATGTACCAACCGGGGGTCCTTCAAACAGAGCAGTTGATGAGTTGTTAGGGATGAGCCATTTGTCTGACCACAGACTTAGGAAAAGGAGACAGGTTGCCAGGATAGTTCATATGGTGCCAGCCTGCTACCCAGTTGCCCTTCTTCCTTCCTTCTTCCTTTCTCTTTCCCCCTGTTTTTCCCTGAGGGTTTCTGGAGAGCGTTTTTATCCATGAAGGAAGTCAGATTAAATTAAAGCAGTACTCCACCGAGGCAACTAATACACTAGCTAATTGTATCAAAGAACAAAACGGTATATAATTACTTCTAAAGGTTTTTGGCCAACCTAGTCTTTGTGGACATGTATAAATACATCTGTTTTTAAAAATGTTTTATTGAAATATATATTTAAAGAAAAAGCATACTTATAAATGTATAATTTGATGAATTTTTACAAATTAAATAGACCTGTGTAATCAATGCCCAGGGTTAAGAAACAGAACTTTACCAGCACCCCAGAAGCCTGCCTTTATTCTCCTAGCTACTCCCTACCCCTTACCTCCACACACACCAAGAGTAACCACTGCCCTGACTTCTCAGAGCATAGATTTGTGTCAACGGTTTCTGTACTTTATATGTGCACGGAGTCATAGGGTTTATTTTCTTTTATGTCTGGCTCATTTTCTTCAACCTGGTATTGGTGGGTTTCAACCATATTGTTAGATGTGATTGTAGATCTTCCATTCTCGCTGCTGTATAGTATTCCATTGTGAAAATATGCCACGATTTACTTAATCATATATATCCATGTTAATAAGAGGAATTAGGTAATACAGGACTCAAGCAAGGGGAGTGAAAAGTAATTCATTCTCTAGAATAAAATCTCCTGAGTGTGAGTTTGGAATGTTTAAGTTGTGAGAAGTACTAAAACTAGCCTGTGGTTGTTCCCAGATCCCCATGCACTTCTGGGCACTTTTTTACCCAAAGAGAGCGATGGATCAGGCCCGAGAACTGGTCAACATGTTAGAGAAGATAGCTGGCCCTATCGGCATGCGTATGAGCCCACCGGCCTGGGTTGAACTAAAGGATGACCGAATAGAGACCTATATCAGAACCATTCAATCCATGCTGGGAGTTGAGGTAATAAATTAATTTAATTTGAGTAAATGTATAGGTTGTCTGTTGTAAAATCCCTGAATACTTGATTTTGAGTTATCCTGGTTATCAGTCTGCTGTTGATAATGTCAGGAACCTATCTCTTACTGACGTGCACATGAAATCCTGATTGAGAAAGGGATCTTTATGCCCATTGGTGAATTTTGCTTCTCTCATTCTGTTTTGGCTCTCTCACTTTAGTCTTTTTCGCGAGTAATAGGCTGGGAGAATAGCTGACTTAACTTTAGTTCTTTATCTATAGAACATGTTGTACTCAGAAAGCAGCTATGTGGGCCAGGTGCCATCTTGCACGATTCCGTACTGAGCTGTCACAGTCTGGTCTGGCTCAAGATTAAAATTGCTCTGGCAGTGAACTTGGCTGCTGGCCCACTGACTCAGTCCTGGGGACTGATCAGGAACACTGGAGCTGAGCAGGTTGTAGCACTCACAACTCGGGTATTCAGGCCTTTCAGTTCTGATATGTTTGTAAATGAAATAGAGGAAGAAGATTAGGGAGAGAAAAAGGCAGAGGAAAGAAAGGCTTTTGGCAGTAATTAGTTCTTGAATTGAGGACTCTGGTGAATTGAGTTGTTCTATGGGGATTGATCCTAGAATTCGATCATTTTGACATCTTTTTGATCCACCACTCTCGGTACATCATTAGTGGCAGCACACTCGTGTTCTCTCCTTGGTGTGTTCTCTTTATAATTGCCTCCTGACTCCCTCTACCATGGCCTCCCTCGGGCCTGGTCGTTGATCAGTTCTGCTCTGCTTTCAAAGGAATAACCCAGCTCAGTGCATCAGCTCCCCCATTTCACAACTTCTCATGTTCCCTTTGTGAGAACGTACAGCCAACAGTTTTCTCATAGCGTGGATGTAAGTTTCATTCCTAATGTTTACCAATTTCTCTCATGTTGGTCTTGCTGTCTGTCTGTCATCTTTAGGGCATTTTGTTTTATTATTAATTTTTTTAGGGATCCCAAACTCATACGTCTTTAGGGGTCAGATAAGTAAAATAAATGAATGAGGTGGGCCAGGAGGGAAGTGCAGTGAACTAAAGAGGGTAACCCCTGCGACTGGAGATAGGCACCAAGGTTGCCAGATGGATTTTTAATTTGCTTGGTTTTGGATAGAAGCCAAAAATCTGCATTTGTGTATGGATGCACCTCCCTATGTTTAAATGTTAATTTAAACAAACACACTTGTGAATCAGTGTAAGGACTGAAAAAACACACACGTTTGCAGTGTCCAGCCCAGAGGCTCCCAGTGCGCAGCCGCGTTCTATGAGACTGTGGAAATTCTTTGATGTAGTTGCTTAATATGTGTCCTCTGAGAAGCCTTAATTAACACCAATCTTGATTCGGAGCAGGATACTACTGATTTACCATTCATAGCGGTTTCTAGCCTAAAGGGTTGGCAACCTTGTTTCACTCAAGTGCTGCTTTTCTCTGTTCAGACTTGGGAAGATCCTCTTTTTTCAGTATTGGATCCCTTGAAGAGAGGTAGAGGATACTGACATGAGCAGTGCTGCTGGCAATATCATCTCTCTTCTAACCAGAGTTAGGAGTAGCTGCCGATGGATTTGGCAATGGTTTCATTCCATTCTGCATTTGGCTCTGAAACTTTCTGTAGTACTGCATTCCGTGTTTCCTCAGTTCTGTGGCATGAATGTACTAAGTTGCTTGGTTAACTAAAGAGAGTGGTGAAAAACATTACAGGGAATTGGAAGCAACAAGTAATGTAAACTTGGCATATTTTCAAGCGCGGTCCTTTTCCACACATCAAAAGTCTCCTAATAAATACATCTTTGGTAATCAGGGCCAGCTGTAGGTAATTAATGGTAACATTACTTATGCGTGCAGAGCAGCCCAGAGCCAAACAAATGCTAATTCAGATCCAAGGACCTTTTTCTGGTTGGGATGTCTACCCTTTCTTTCAGTCCCCTGTCTGCCATACAGGTCCTATGGTTTTGCAGACTGTCCCCAACTAGAGTCCCATAGAAGTCCCCAGAGAGTTCCAAAGCCTGACTTATGTGTATTTTGTCTCCTCAAGGGGAAGATACAGATGGTGGTTTGCATCATCATGGGCACGCGTGATGATCTCTATGGGGCCATCAAGAAACTGTGCTGCGTGCAGTCCCCTGTGCCCTCCCAGGTGAGTGGGAGTTGGGGCAGGAGGCACAGATGGCACCTCCCACCTCCCCTGAGACTTGGAAAAGGGGGACGTATGTTCAAAAAGCCTAAAATAGCTGTTGGAAGCCAGTATGTGGAGAGCCTTCTGGCGAAAGATTCCCCCGATTAGGGTAACCTGGCAGGGAGAAGCTAGCTGTTCGTAAACACTGCCTTCAGGCTCCTGGGGAGCAGTTTTGCTTGTTCAGAGGCTGAATTGAATCACCAGGTAGTTTCACATTGTAGGGTTCTGAGGGTATAGGCTTCATTCTGAAAGGGGAAAGCTGTTTTTCCTATGGGAGTTAAACAAAATTCTACTCTGCGTGAGATTCTTTTGAAAGTTTTCATTTTTTTTGGCTGTGTTTTGTGTGTGTTGTATTTTGCCCATGTACACACATGCTAAAAATCCTAGAATTAGAACTATTAATGCAAAAAGAGTTATCTTCCAACTCGAGTTTGTTAAACAAATGTAGCATTTGTTGGGAGGTTGATAGTGTTCTGCTTTTCTCCATACTTTTTGGTGCCTTCGTTACAGGTCATCAATGTTCGAACCATTGGTCAGCCCGCCAGGCTTCGGAGTGTGGCCCAGAAAATTTTACTGCAGATTAACTGTAAATTGGGTGGTGAGCTCTGGGGAGTGGATATTCCTCTGGTGAGTGATGCTGAGATCTCTGTTTTCATTCAGTTTAGCTCTCTAGAGAATCCTACCTGGCTATTACCCTAGTTTTCCTTATCTGGTTATCCTTCCTATTCTCAGTGTTTACTCAGTAGTCTAAGTGATTCACTGCCTGTTTTGGGGACAGCCCATGACAGCCCAGCTAAGACTGCTTTTTACTTTTTACTTTTTTTTTTTTGAGACAGTCTTGCTTTGTCGCCCTGGCTAGAGTACAGTGGTGTCATCATAGCTCACAGCAACCTCAAACTCCTGGGCTCAAGCAATCCTCCTGCTCAGCCTCCCAAGTAGCACGTGCCACTGTGCCTGGCTAATTTTATCTATTTTTGGTAGAGATGGGGGTCTTGCTCTTGCTCAGGCTCATCTCAAACTCCTGACCTCAAGTGATCTTCCCACTTCAACCTCCCAGAGTGCTAGGATTACAGGCATGAGCCACCAGGCCTGGCCGCTTCTGTACCATGTCTATGGCTGCTTTTGTGTTACAAAGGCAAAATTGAGTACAGGTTGAGTATCCTTTATCTGAAATGCTTGGGACCAGAAGTGTTTTGGATTTTTTGGGATTTTGGAATATTTGCATTATACTTGTTAAGCATCCCAGATACGGAAATCTGAAATGCTTCAGTGAGCATTTCCTTTGAGCATCATGTTGGCACTCAAAAAGTTTCAGATCTTTCAAGATTTTGGATTTTTGGATTTGAGATGCTCAACCTGTGGTTCCTACAGAGACCATGTGGCTCACAAAGCCTGAGGTAGTCTTTTTACAGAGAAAGTGTGCTGATCCCTGGTCCAGATCTCTTACTCTCTTCAGCGTGTTCAGAAGATGCCAAGTCGACTGCATCCCCTCTTTCTCAGAACTTATTTTCATATGTAAACAGTAGGAGTTAAGATAATAATTAAAAATGAAGTGATGGATTGCTTGGGTTTGGGGTTTGCTTTTTGTTTTTGTTTTCTAACCTAGAAACAATTAATGGTGATCGGGATGGATGTGTACCATGACCCCAGCAGAGGCATGCGCTCTGTGGTTGGCTTCGTTGCAAGCATCAATCTGTAAGTACTACTCACAGTGCCATTTTGTTTGGTCACTGCATTTTTTTTTTTTTTTTTTTTTGAGACAGAGTCTCACTCTGTTGCCCTGGCTAGAGTGAGTGCCGTGGCGTTAGCCTAGCTCATAGCAACCTCAAACTCCTGGGCTCAAGCAATCCTACTGCCTCAGCCTCCCGAATAGCTGGGACTACAGACGTGTGCCACCATGCCCAGCTAATTTTTTCTCTGTATTTTTTAATTGTCCAGATAATTTCTTTCTATTTTTTTAGTAGAGACGGGGTCTCGCTCTTGCTCAGGCTGGTGGTCACCGCATTTTGATGCCTCATCTTATTATAACTCCAGCAAATATTTTTGAGTGTTATATATTATAGTGTAAAGAGTTCTAAACTCCTTCTTCCTCTATCTTCCTGTGATACTGGTTTATGCAACCTGTTTACCAAACTTGTCACAGGTATAAATTTGCTTCCCAGTTGTGTTGTAACCTCCTTCAGGGATGGGGGCTGTGTCTTGTTGTTGGCTTTTTTCCCCCAGGACCTGAAGCGTTTTTTTTGTTTGTTTGTTCTAATTGTAAAAATAAGACATACTCATTCTAAAAATCTGCAGAAGTCTAGGAAGTAAAAGTTCCTCATGGCTCATCTTTTATTAACCGCCACCAAAGGTTTGATGTGTATAAACTCTCAGGTTCTCTTGTATGCATATTAACACATACATATGATATGCATCTGATATATTCCCACACATATATATTTGTTTATTTACACAAGTGGGATATTACTAGGCATACTGTTCCTCAGCTTGTTATATGTACTTAAACTCTATATTTTGGACATTTTCCCATATCAATACAAATAAATCTCAACCAATTCTTGTTATCTGCTGCACAGAATTTATTGTATGCCATATCACTATTTATTTAACTAGTTCTCTGTTGGTGGATATCTAGGTTATTAAGTTTTTTCTATTGGAGCAGTTTTATAGCAATATGCACAATTATACATATATTTTTGCATTCCGTATATGGCTTAAACATATCTTTTCCCCACATCGCTACTTGTTCTTACATATACCATAAATGCATTTACTAGATATGTGTTGTTACACTGATTCACAGAGAAACCCGTGTGTGCTGACATCCAGACCACGGGCCTTCCTCTGTGCGTGTGTGTTCATCTTCCTCTCTCTGTCTCTCTCTCTCTACTGACTCCCGCCCCAGCACCCTCACAAAATGGTATTCACGAGTGGTGTTCCAGATGCCTCATCAGGAGATTGTGGATAGCCTGAAGCTGTGCTTGGTGGGCTCCTTAAAGAAGTTTTATGAGGTGAGGAGAACAGAAATTCTGGGTTTTTAAGGACTACCTACACAAACACTCTAACAGGAAGTCTGATGTAGTGGGAAGGGTCCCAAATCAAAGGTAAGTCCCTTACGTAGTTGTAGCTAAACAACAGCTCATGGTTACTCCTTTCAGGCTTCTACTTGTACAGATCAGCTCAAAGAGCTAAATGCTTTGATTTGGTTTGGTAAGTAATAATTATTTTCCAAGTCGTCAGCCTGTAGACATAATCTTCGTGCCCTTATCAGGGAAGTTGGGGTAAATTTTAGCAATTAAAGTAGCTTATGAATTTACTCAGCTTTTTATGACTGTCATTAGGCACTGGCTCTTTTCATTTTGGTTCAAGGCAAATGCCTCCCTCTAAATCACTCCTAGAACTGCAAAGAATGCTAGCCATGGAGAATTGCTGTCATTAAGCTGATATTGGGTCTGGAACTGTGAGCAAGCAAGGTACTGATTTTTGCCTTGGCCAGCACATCAAAGGAAGCACTAATGAGTGGCTTTCATTTCTTAGGGTCAGGGTTAGACCCTAACCTTTGCATAGAGGTTAAACAGCAAGAACTTTAATAATTTCATGTGGTTGAAGTAGGTCTCTAGCACTCCACCTTGTCTCTTTATAGAACGTTTCCTACAGCGTCCTGCAAGTATTAACGGTTCAATACTGTTCAGGTATTAGAGATTATGTCAAAAAAAGGTCAAACTTTTGTCTCCTTGAAGGTCTGTATGTTATGTTACTTTGTCACCAGCTTCTGCAGACTTTCCTTTTTCTTTCTGTTGTTGTTATTATTTTCCTTCAAAGTTTGCTCTGTCCTCCAGAACCTAGCTGTGAAGCCCTTCCCATTTTCCCTCTCTGCTCCCTCCCTTAGCTAGAATTATTTGTGTTCCTTGCCCAAGACCCTTTGTTTATAGTCTGTGAAGTGGTAACAAATCCTGCCTCATATTGGTATTTGTGTCCTTATTTCCCTCTTCTACGGGGTTGTAAATTACTTGAACACTGGTTATTGATGGCTGTGTAACAGATTACCCTAAAACTTAGTGGCGTACAATGAGCATGTATGATGTTCACAGTCAGGAACTTGGGTAGGGTGCAGGGGGCTCCAGTTCTTCCCCACGTGGGCCTCAGCATATGATCTTTCCACATGCTGTTTGGCTTCCTCACGCCGTGATGGGTAGATTCAAAACCTGAACATCCTATGAGACTCAGAGAGCCAGATGGAAGTCAGGTTGACTCCTTTTAGGGCTGAGCTATGGAAGTCATACAGTATAACTTCTGCTGCATCTTCATTGTCAAGATAGTCACAAAATCCCACCAGGTTTAATGGGGAGGGGAGTAGATTCCACCTCTTAATCCAGGGGTGGCAAGGTTCTGGAAGAGCATGCAGGACTAGAGATACTACTGTGGCTATTTTTGGAAATCAAGAAGGAGCCAGTCATGTGAAGAGAGTCATTCAGGCAGAGGGAATGGCTGTCAGTTTAATGGCTTTTAGGTAGGCATAAGCGTGGTCTGGTGTGTCCAAGGGACTGGAAGGCCAGGACAGCTGGAGTCCAGTAAACAAGGGGAAATGATCAGATTGTGTCAGCCTCTCTGGACTTGGATTTTGTTTTGATGTTGGGTTCAGGCAAGAGGTGGTAGTTCGGATGAAGAGAGATAGAAAGAAAAGTACAGATTTTGGGGTCTGTTTTTGAGGTAAGGATGCCGGTATTTCCTGATGGTATAGATGTGCATGGGAGAAGAATGCAAGAGAAGAAAGGATAATTTCCAAATGTTTGGCTTGAACAACTGCTCAGTTTTCTGAGAAAAGGCAAGACTGAGAAAGAATATCAAGAATTTGTGTTTTTTGATTTTGTGTTTTTTTTGAGACAGTCTCACTTTGTTGCCCTGAGTAGAGTGCGGTGGCGTCAGCCTATCTCACAGCAACCTCCAACTTCTGGGCTCAAGTGATCCTCCTGCCTCAGCCTCCCAAGTAGCTGGGACTACAGGTGCTTGCTACCACATCCACCTAAGTTTTTGTTTCTATTTTTAGTTGTCTCACTAATTTTTTCTATTTTTAGTAGAGACGGCAGGGCGGGGGGCAGCGGTGCTGTCTCATTCTTGCTCAGGCTAGTCTCGAACTCCGGACCTCAAGCGATCCTCCCACCTCGGCCTCCCAGAGTGCTAGGATTATAGGCATCAGCCACCTCCCGCAGCCAAGAGTTTGTATTTTGATTTTGCTAAGTTTGATATGCTTATTTGACATCTGTGTAGAGCCTTGAAGTAGGACAGTGTGGAATTGTAGGGAGGTCAGGCTGGAGGGGAAGATTGGGTGGTATTTAGAGCCTTTGGTGTGGAAGCACCACCCAGAGAGAATATGGAGAGAAAGAAAAGGAGCCCAGGACCGGGCACTTAACTCTTTAGAGGTGGACTAGATGAGGAAGAACCTGCAGGTAGAAGTGAGAAAGAGGAGCTGGCGAGGAGGAAGAAAATCAAGGAGCCTGTGGTCTCAAGGAGCCAGCGGAAGGAAGTGTTGTAAAGGGGCAGGCTCGGCTTTACAGATACTGGAGTTTAGTCTCGATCAGATGGTCACAGAAAAGTAACTGTTGAATTTGTTAGCGCGGAGAGAGAGGTCTTGGGGATGGAATCCTGACTGTAGTAGGTTAAGAGAAATTATGAGATGGCAACACTGAGATTATTTTTGTTCTTTAGAAAATAATTAATTTTTTATTTTCATCACAAGTATGTATTTATATATACTGTATATAATTTTAATTATTTATTTTTTTAAGAGACAGGGGCTCGCCCTGTCGCCCAGGCTGGAGTGCAATGGTGCGATCACAGCTCACTATAACTTCAAACTCGTGGGCCCAATCCAAGCCATCTTTCCACCTCAGCCTCCCTTGCAGCTAGGACTACAGGTGCACAGCACCATGCCTGACTAATTTTTAAATTTTTGTAGAGATGGGGGTCTCACTATGTTTCCCAGGCTGGTCTCGAACTCCTGGTCTCAAGCAATCCTCCTGCCTGGGCCTCCCAAAGTGCTGGGATTATAGGCATGAGCCACCATACCTGGCCTACTGTATATAGTTTTAAATGTCAAATATAGTCATGTGTCACTCAGCATGGAGATGCATTCTAAGAAATGCATTGTTAGGTGATTTTGTCATTGTGTGAACACAACAGAGTGTACTTACACAAAACTGTATAGTATTGCCTATTGCTACAAACCTGTACGGCGTGTTACTGCACTGAATACTGTAAACAATTTTAGCAGAATGGTAAATATTTGTGTATCTGAACATATCTAAACATAGAATGGGTACAGTAAAAATAGGTATTATAATCTTATGGGGCCATTGTTGTTATGCACTCCATCATTAACTGAATTGTCCTTGTGTGGCTTATGACTGTAGTATCTGGATTAGCTTCTTAGAGTTGGGAGGCTTAAACAAGAGAAATTTATTTTCTTTCATTTCTGGAGGCTAGAAGTCTGAAATCAAGGTGTCAGCAAGGCCATGTTTCCTCTGAAGGCTCCAAAAAGAATCCTACTTTGTCTCTTCCTGTCTTCTGGTGGTGGCCAGCAACCCTTGACATCCTTTGGCTTGCAGCTGTATCATTCTAATCTCGATATCTGTGGTCACATAACCTTCTTTTCCTGTGCGTCTGTGTCTCTGCTGTGTCTCTGTAGCTCCCTCTTCCTAGAAGGACTCCAGTCATTGGATTTAGGGCCCACCCTAATCCAGCATGACCTCTTATTACCTTGATTAGATCTGCAAAGACTCTTTCCAGATAGTCACGTTAAGAGGTACTGGAGATTAGGACTTGAACATAACTTTTTAGAGGATACAATTTAACCCACAATAGTATCAAAAAGCATGTAACAAAAAACAGGTTTACCAACCTATTCCTTCCCACTCTCCATGTTCAGCTCCCTGGAACAACAGCTTTCACCCGCTTTGGTTTTTTTCTTCTGGCATATATCTCCATAACCCCAAATAGTATAGTTTTTGCTCTTTCTTTTTGAGGCATTAGCTATTGTCTTCCTGCTATGGAAAATGAGGATTTAGGTCTGTCACAGCACGACACCATCACCACCTGCTCCCCCACCTCAAGTCACCTGATACAGTTATTAATATATTACAAAGTCTGGTTAAATCTTTTTTTAGAGTTTATGGTATTATTACAGCTGAGTCACATAATATATTAATGATTCTAATCTCTCTCTTTTACAACTTTTTGGTTTTTTTTTTCCCTCGAGTCATGAATTGCCTTGTTTTTTCTTTCCTTAGTTTTCTGTATATTTATCACTCAAATTCAACTAGAGCCAGGCATGGTGGCACGTGCCTGTAGTCCTAGCTACTCAGGAGGCCGAGGGGGAAGGATCACTTGAGCCCAGGAGTTTAAGACCAGCCTGGGTGGTACAGCAACCCTTTCTTTAAAAAAAAAAAAAAAAATCAGCTAGAGACCTTTAAAACTTTTCTTACTAACTTCAAACAAACCTATGATATATAACTTTCTTTTCTTTTTTTTTTTTGACAATCTCCTTCCTAGAACCCTGTATCCTCCTGTAGCAATCTGAGCCTAAATGCTCACCAGTCCCCATGCTAATCTGTTGGCCTGGGGTTCCCCTTCAGCATCTGGGAAATTACTTTGGCCTCTCTTCGGTGTTGGATGTCTTTATCTCTCTTGGTTTATTTCATTGTTCATTTCATTGTTTCTGAATGACTCCTCTAGTAGCTTCTAAACAAAGTATTGAGAATTTTAGATGCCTAAAAATATCTTTATTTTACCCACACATTTGATTGACAGAATTCTGGCAGTCATTTTCGTTCAGAATTTTGAAGGCATTTTGCTTCATTGTCTTCTAGATTTTGATATTCTTGACCAGTTTCAACTGATTTCTAATTCTTTGTGTACGACCTTTTTTTCCCTTCTGTTTCCTTCCGTTTAACCCTGGCATCCTGAAATGTCATGATACAGCCTGTGTGGGTGTTTCTTACTCACTGGGCTGAGC